AAGGCAAAAGCAACATCGTTCCAGTGCCGCTGGGTATCGCACCTCCGCAGCCTCGCCGCAAGTTTATCCGCCAGCTGTCTGGCGCGTCTATCCTGTTTGTTACTCATGAGCATCATCACCCCTTCATGCTCTCCCCTCCCAAAAAAACATACCTTCTCAACAAACCCCAACAAAAACCTCACTATCCTCCTGAAACTCTCCTCATCAATCCTCTGATCGGCACTCAGCAGCGAAAACATGTCCACAAAGTGGTTATAAACCGCATTGTCCTTTGTCGACAGCTCGGTAAAGAACATCCTCGCCAGATCCGCAATCCTCTTGTCCTCATCCTCCAGGCACTTTGCCATCTCTCCCAGCTGGCCCTTGACCTTGACCTGGCCAGCCAGGATCAAAAACGTCAACGTCATGAGACAAGTCCTCTTGACCGACGCGTCCGAATCCGCCAGCCGACGATACAAGAAATCAGTATTCTCATCAATAAGATGATTAAAGCACACAGCCATGTCCCCAAGCGCAATGACAGCGTTGGACCGGACCGTCGCGTCGGCGGAGCGCTCCATGATGGTGATTAGCAGAGGGAGATTCGCCTCGCAGTACTCAGACGAGACGCACATCAGCTTGGCCAGACACAGCGTGGCCGCCTGCTGGAGGTTGCGATCTTTGTACGTGGTGTTGTTGGCGCAGATCTCGCTGACCATGGGGCCAAAGATGGCCAGCAAGGACCGTCCGTCGTACAGGAGCTCACGCTCGCGAATGTGCGCCATCGCTTCGGTAAAGTCGTCTTCTGTCGTGCCGCCGATGAGGTCGAGCTCGTCGCCTTCGTCTTCTTCTGGTGCCGGGGCGGCGGCGGATTTCCGCTTGTTGCCGGCTGCTTTGCGCCCGGTCGAGGTGGTGGTGCCGGCAGAGAGGGTTGAAGCATCCTTGGCGGCGGCGGCGGACTTTTCCTTTTCTTGCTTGCGGCGTTTGAAATCCAATTCGCACAGCTCAAGATGTACAATTTGCTTGATGGCGACATGTCCAACGATGAACAACAGCTGCGAAAGAGCGACGGTGTTGTCCTTGTTTTGTTTCTTGGAAGGGGATTGTGGTGGCTGGCTGGACCCGGGAGGGGCTTGTGTCGGGGGAGCCAGAAGGGTTGGATCACCCTCCTCACCATCCTGAGTAGCCGGTGAACTCGCACTTGACAAAGGGACCGACTCATCCCTCGATGTTGGCCTGGACGCCTGCGGCGAGAAAACAGACTTAGTCTTGCGCCGGATAATCTCCGAGCACAGAACATCCGGATGTCTTGACAGAGCATAGATAGCATTAATAGCCTGCTCAGCAACCCCATACCACTCCTTGCTCTCGGTAGAAACTTCGGTGATGGCAGCCAGCCGGGCAAGAACAGCATGGTCGTTAGACAGCCTGGAGAACTTGATGGCAGACTCCTTGGCTGAGCGGCCACTTGGGTTGATACGCCTAAGAGCAACACAAGTAAACTTGGCAAGCTGCAAGTCGGCACGGCCGTGAGACCCGAGACCAGTGCGCAACATGGTTTCCATCTCACCCACGACAATCTCTGGGCTGGCAGTGGCCAGCATACCGAGCACAATGATGGCGCCCTTTCTCTGCTTGCGCGAGATCTCCCTCTTCTGGACACCGTACACCTGCCAGAGCTTGGCAATCACAATCTCGGGAATCATGCCCTGCTTCATCATGGTAGCCAGCAGCTGCTCAAGCGAGGTGAGCTCAGCAGGAGTAGCACCAAAAGTCAGACTGATCATGTTGCGGGCAATGTAGTTGGCCGCATCGTTGGGGCTGAAGCTGTCGGGCGCCTCAAAGAAGAGACGCTTGTAGCACTCGATGAGGTGAGTCTGCACACCCTTGCCCTCGTCGCTGTTGCCCTTGGTCCAGATCAGTCTCAGCATGCGCCGGATGCCAACCTTGTTCTGCTCGATATTGTAGGCATCGCCAATCTCGAAGAAGTCCATGGCCTCAATGACCTCGCTCTTGTTCTTGGAGCCAAGAAGCTGGCAAACGGTGGTGGTGGCCTCGTGAAGAACATCGATAAACTTGAGCGCCTCGCTGTAGTATCTCTTGGTGAGAGTGAGTTTCTCGATAGCCTCTGATGTGGCAGCCTCTTCTTGGGCTTTGCGAATGGCGGCCACCTTTTCCTCCTCGGTCATTTCGGCAGGCGACTTTTGTGATGGGTCGAGCTGTGTCGCGTCAATCTGGGTGGCATCGTCGAGCAGTCCGGCATCCACGGTGGTGTTGGCGTTCCCGTCAAGGCCTGGCGCATCAACCGGAGGCTTCAGAGCATCAAGCTCGGCATCCACCTTGTCCAACCGTTCCTGCCAATCCTTTCTCGCGAGCTGTGCACCATGAAGCGCGGTGAAGGGATGTGTCCTGATCAGCGCGCCCAGCAACTTGATGGCGTTCCTCCTGACGTGACTACTCTTGTCCTCCAAACTCTGGCAGGCCAACTCAGCGGCTTTTTGTCTCCTCTTGGGAAACTTTTGCTCCAGCTCACAAATCTTGAGATAGACTTGCATCGTCCTGCAACGGCAGTAGGGGTTAATATCCAAGAATCTTTCCTCCAACACATCGAAAAAGGCATTCATCTGTGACTTGTGGTTCTCTCCTCTTTCATCCGACTTGCTGAGGTAGACAAGCATGTTTCCAAACACTTCGATGAGGGCGCTGCGGAGGGTGTGCGATTCACTGTCGAGCTGCTTGGCCAACAGAGTGACTTGCTTAATGATCAGTCTGGGGGCCAGCTCGGACAGCTTGACCATGAAGGTCGAAACAGATTTTGGTCCCTTGTTGTCATTGCTGTTGAACTCCTTGTTGCTCAGCTCTCTCAGAATCTCATCTGCCAGCTGTGGGTAGTCGTATTGTTCGGCCAGGATGTGGAGCAGCTCGGCCATGGGCTCCGAGAGATGCTCGAAATATGTGAGATTTTGTACAATGGAGATTTGGGCGGCTATCAAGGTCAGAAATGGACTTGCAGGCACCGTCATCAACAAACTCACCATAAGCATGCCCGTGATGCTTGACGGCCACACACAGCACCTTGAAGGTGTGCATTCGGATGCTAGTATTTTTAACCCGCTGCTCGCTCTCGAGTATCATATAAACCGGGCGGGTGAGCAGGGAGATGAAGGTGTCGCGCTCCGAGGTTGTGAGAAAGATCTTGCCCAACTTTAACCGAAGAACCTTGCACATGGTGTTGAGGGCAATCTCGAGCTGTGTCGAAGAGTCCCAGCTGCCGTCCTTGCCGACCTCCTTCCTGCCTTTTGGCTTGCCTCGGCGTGCTGGCATGTTGGTGGAGGACTTTTCGGCCGCCTTGGTCTCGACGGCGGCGATCGTCCACTGAAGAAGAAAGCCGTACATCTCGAGAAGCATCTTGTGGTGGGCGATGAGTTCCTGCTCGTCAGATTCGAGGTCATGGTGGATGACATCGGCCTCGGTGGCCATGCCGGAGGTGATCAAGTCAAATATCTTGCTCAGAGCATGGGCGGAGAGATAGGATGTGTACCTGGATAGTTTAAACAGTTCAGAAACAGGTTCTTTCATACGACAAGCTGGCGCACCGGGATCTGGTGGACGGGGCTCCTTGGAAGGAGGCGTTCCTGCCATCATCGAAGAGGAGAAGGAGTTGTTGGGAACAAGCGAAGAAGAAACAGGGGAAATGGGTGCACACTTTAGTAGGAACTGTAATGAATCGAAGATGCTGCTTCTGGTGATGGCATCTGGGTTCTCGGCGACGGCATCAACAATGGGATTTAGCACCCCGTTGATGATGGCATTGTCCGAGAGGGACTCGGGGTCATTTTCGCAGTCAACCAGCGCGCTGTCGGCCTCGGGGGTTGGAATGGCCGCTGGATCGCTCATGTAATGCTTGAGCGCCTCGTTGATATCGAAGCTGACGTTGTCCATGGTGGACAACGGCGGATAGGAGAAGTATCGCCGTGCGCGGGGTTGTTATGTTGTGGTGGTGATGATCGGGTCGCAAGAGCAGAGTACAGGAACAGGATGATATTCTTTCGCTGACAAGTCGTTAATTCGTAAATGCTATCGTTTCCGTCGTCGCTGTTGTCGTCTGGCGGCCACCAGGCGCTGTCGGTGCTCTGTCGTCGGGTGTCGTCGCTGTCGCCAAAAGTCAAGTCCAAGTCTGGGCGCAACACAACACAACACAGCGGCAGTTTCCCCCCTCGTTTGCGATTTGTCGATTTTCCGGTGTGGGGATCCCCTGGCAACTGCCCCAATTGTTTGTTGACTTTGGTGGGTTCCCTTCTGTCGCGTCCTCGCTGCAGAAGCTCGCGTCTTGGTCTGTGCTCTGCCCCTCCACCCCAGCCCGGTCATTGATTCTGACGCAGACCCAATTGCATGGCAGGTACCTTTGTCTCTTTCCATTTAAAACACGCCAATTGGTTTTGTCTCTTAGTTGGTCTATTAGCGGTACATATTCCCAGCTCATGCATTGTCTTTGATCGTTCGAATTGGGTCAACTGTGGTGGACTACAGCTGTTAGCGACAATGGCGACCGTTGCGCCTCCACGGCGCTCTCGAGAGGAGTCTTTTCGCATTCATGATGACGTCCCATCGACTGGGGATACCGAGATGAATGAACACGACTTCCAAGACGAAGAGGTCGATGATGGGGAGACAGAGCGCGGCCACGAGGGTGAGCAGGTAGAGGAACAAGAACAGGAAGAGCAGGAGGAGCAGGAGGAACCAGAGTCAGAATATACAGAGAGTTCCGACGACGACATGGCCGTCGACAGCAATATCCAGTACGACATGGACAAGCTGCAGGACAGCTTCCCTGGCTTCAGGTCGAAATACAGGTTGATCAAGAGGATCGGAGAAGGTGCGTCAAGCTTGTTCAAGTTGAGACATTGGACCAGCCAACTGACAAACTTTGGTAACATAGGAACCTTTTCAACCGTCTACAAAGCCGAAGACCTGGCATACGACCGATACGATAACTCGTGGGACTTTGACAGAGACAGCGACAAGTGGACACCACCACCACTGAAGAGCTACAGCAGCGGCGACCACCAGCCTTCACGACGTCGCAAACCGAAATACGTCGCCATCAAGAAGATTTACGTGACCTCTTCCCCCACCCGCATCCTCAACGAACTCGAGCTTCTTCACGACCTCCGAGACTGCGAAAATGTTTGTCCCTTGATCACAGCTTTTCGCGCCACCGACCAAGTCGTTGCCATCCTCCCATACTTTAGGCATGCCGATTTCCGGGACTATTTCAGGAAAATGACCGTCCCTGATATCGCCATCTACCTCCGATCGCTCTTCACCGCCCTTGCCAGCGTACACAGGCAACACATCCTTCATCGCGACATCAAGCCCACCAACTTTCTCTACGACCCTGAGTCACGAAGGGGTGTACTGGTCGATTTTGGTCTGGCTGAGCGCGAGGGGTCAGAGTGCAAGCCATGTCTTTGCCACGATGACTATCAGACTCGCAAAGCTCGGCTTGCAAACCATAATCCCAAGGCGACCGTTGGTGGCTATCCCAAGCAGGACACCCGGCCGTCTAGACGCGCCAACCGTGCCGGCACCCGTGGTTTCCGCGCGCCAGAAGTCTTGTTCAAGTGTACTGAACAAACCACCAAGATTGACATCTGGAGTGTTGGTGTTATTCTGTTGACTATCCTGTCGAAGCGCTTCCCTTTCTTCAATTCTGCAGACGATGTCGAGGCTATGATTGAGATAGCGACCATTTTTGGCCGAGAGAAGATGAAGGAGGCGGGAAAGCTGCACGGATGTGCATTCGAGACTACAATCCCAACAATTGGATCAGGAGGTTTTAGTTTTGAGAGGATTATCCTGTGGAGCACATGTCGCAGCGACTCGGAGAAGACATTGCCTGCTGATGAGAAGTTGGCTGTCGAGTTTTTGAAGAGATGCCTGGACCTGGACCCACGACACCGCATCAGTGCCGAGGAGGCGCTGGAGCACGAGTTTTTGCAAGTAGGGATGCTTTCTTCTAGCGAGAGGGCGGGAGATGACGACGAGATGGACATTTTGCAGGTCCGAGCAAGCATTGCATGAGGCGTTGAGGTGCATGGTGAACAGAGCAAGGAAGGGGTGAAGTTTTTATTGTATATATACACACATATTCATGGCGGGGGGAGTTTGCCGGGCGATGGGGGCATTGTTGGAGTTAATGGGTCATAATACCACATGATAAATATGAGCGATGTAATTGTGTTGTCTTTTTCATGTTTTGTGCAAGTCCCCTGAACCGCCCCTTTTTTGGGTTTGTTTGTTGACCTGGCGGCCACTCACGTGACGGCGCTGCGACTTGAGCTTGTGCCATTCTTTCCTCATTTGCTCGACCACGGTTTCATCTCAGCAGTTGCATGTCCGTCATCAAATCTGACGAAGTTTTGTTTTTGTCTTGATCGATTTTAACTTATTCATTCACTTGCGGTTTCAATACCCCTAATTCTCGAATAAAATCGAATAAGACCAAATTTCTGCCCCAACACCACCATCATCACCACAGCAAATGGCCGCGCCCACCAGTGAAGAACCGATCGACTTCCACCACCCTTACACCCCCTACCCGGTCCAGCTAGAGTTCATGCGCACGGTCTATGATGTTCTGGAGAGAGGGAACGGCCAAGTCGGGATTTTGGAATCGCCTACTGGTACAGGGAAGTCGCTTTCGCTTATCTGCTCTGCGATCACCTGGTTGAGGAACCACAAGAGGAAGGGGTTTGATGCTGGGTTGGATGAGACGAGGAGGCAGATGGTGGGGGAGCCGGAGTGGATGGTGGAGACTGCGCTGAGAAGGAAGAGGGAGGAGTTGGTGGGGAAGTGGGAGGAGCGGGAGGAGAGGTTGGAAAGGTTGAGGACGACGGAATCTGATGATGCGCCAGCCCTCCCGTGCCGTTCGTACAATGTCAACTTCTGTTCTTTAAACGTGCGTCCGAGTGGATGCCCTGTGGCTTGTTCGCTGAGCTTGACC